TTGATATGCAATTGTTCATGGTATGATAATCGTGCACGTTCAAATCGTGGTAAACCGTCATACCGGTATATTGTTACAACCCTAGTTCAGAAATAGATTCATTAGGATCAATGCTTAAAGTAAATGTTTACTTCTCTCTGTAGACCAAACATGCTTAGTATCCCACACATTTTAATGAATTATTTATTTTGGTTACTTTTACATCTATATATGGGTAAGCAAATATTTAATAAATAAAATTATTTTAAACTACTTAACCAAATGACTCTATTACCCTAGCTTCTGGGAAAAAAACATGTAAAATAACAGATTTTTTTTTTTTTTACAGTGTGGGTGAACATACTACCTTGATGTCCAACAAAGACTGCACAAGAGCTCATTTGATGGCACATATTCTGTCCTGTCTACATCTCTGACGAAGTGCTTCGACATCAGTGAGTAATAAATCTTCATATTATCATGCATTCAGGATTTCTGTAAGCCTATCTTTAATGTTAGTTTGTAATCAGCATTGACTGTTTTAAAATTTGGTATTTAAATTATTCTTAACGTTTTACTGATGCTGTGCACAGTAACGTCATGATGATTTAATTTGAGGAAATATCACTGGTGAGGTGTAATAATATTTATTTGTCTCACTGACATGCCATCACTGCATATTGAAATACAGTAATACGAATTGACCGCAAAATATTATCACAAACATTTCATGAAGTAGACTGCTTGACTACTCTTCATTTCTTTGCTCAACTTTAACACATTTGATCGTGTTGCTGTGCCTTTCGGCAGATTTTGCCAAAAATGAATGCTTAGTGATTACTTTGTTTTATGCGAACCAAATGTCAGTAAATTATCATTAGCATTATTTTTTTTTAAAATCACCCATGGCTTTCATGTTCTCTAACGTAATCTTGTCTGTAAGTTAGAAGTAGATTTTCACATGTTAAAAGCCTAAAAGTACTTGATTAACATTAGTCACGTTAAATTAATTATTTTATTTATTTATTTATTTTTAATATGTAGCCTCTTAAGGTCAGAATTAACTGTGTTCACCCCTCTTAAATTCGTGAAAGCGCTAGTGTGGTCATGGAATCAGATATTCAAGCTATACAGAGTCAGACATTAAGTTAAGATGAGACTTTATTGTTTACATACCTGTGTAGACACTTGACTAGTGTTCACTTGACTGATCTTTTCCCCATTAACGTTAGTGTAATTGTAAATAGACAACAATCTGTATTTTGCCAACAAAAACAATAAAAAACAGTGTTTCATTCATATAAAACAGCAGTGCCGTGTTTGGTTTCTAAATGAATGAAATAATTTGAGGCATGATTAGTTTTTACTTCAGTGATTGATTTTGCTTGTCGTTTTTTGCAGGACCATCAGAAGTGCTCCTGCCCTTTTTCACTGTCCCTTTTCCACAACATCATTTGACCTTCAGCATTTCGTGTCTTGTAGCAGTATTTTCATCTGTTTTTAAAATTGTAATACTTTTTGATGCATTAATTGTTGACTGGTTTTACTTATCAATTTTTCATTAGTGTTCTGTTGCTGTGTTATATTGAATAATTGCTACTGTTTCAGTAGGGTTTACACAATAAACTTTTATTGTGAAGTTAAAGTTTCAGTTTCTGTATTTTTCTTGTATTTCTTGAACAGTTAAAATAACATTTGTGCAATTTTTGAAAATATTTTGCTCATTATAAAGTAACACTATTAAATACAATAAAATAACATTTAATAACTGTAAAATACTATACAGTAATAATGAAAGTAACGTTAAAATACCGTAGTTCTGCATGGTAAAAATGTACAGTAAAATACTGTTTTCAGTTTTGCAGTATGTGTATTACTACTGTAATTGGTGTTACAGTATAAAAAGAAAACAGTAAAATGATGCATTACATTTTACAGTAAATCTAATACTAAAGTAATTAGTATTACAGTAATGTTACTGTTTTATGAAATACAGCAGCTACTGGATAATTGTTGCCAGTAACTTACTGTTAATTTAACAAGAAATCGTTTACAGTGTTGTTTATCTGTTTGTGAACATTGTGACGCGTTTTCCTTGCCTTGCTGTGTTAGACCCTTGCTTTGTTGTTTTTTTTTATTTTCATTGTCTGCTGCCTGACTTTTGACCATCCGCCTGTTGTATGACCACAATTTGCCTGTATACATCTGTTTGACCCTGTGCTGACTGTTGCTTGCCTGACCATTCTCCTAATGTCAGTCCCCTTCACATTACATAAATAAACTGTGAAACAAATAAGGACACAGAAAGAGGCACAAGACCACACCCATATAAACTGTCCCATAGTACATTGGTCCCAAAAATATTCCAAATAATCAGGTGTATATTCTACAAATTCTTTTATTTTACTAACGAAGCAATACAATGAATCATCTATGGAACTTTGATGATTTCATTATGTTTTGAAAGAAGTCTTTTATGTTTATTACAGATGTATTAATTTTTTAAAAGAAGATAAAACAGTAATTTTGATATAATTTGTACAATTTAAAAGTTTCATTGTTTGAAGGTGAGTTAAATCTTACAAAATAATAAAAGAAAAAAATCTACACATAAACTCTGGTTAATCAAAGGAATTAAGTCCTGGTTTGCATATAATATATTAGCATCAAATTAGCATGTTAAAATAATCACAGAATTAACTGATTTGTTAAGAAACTTTCAGCTTTGCCATTAAATAATAAGAAAAAGTTTAAAAATACATCAAAATAAAAGTTATGTTAGGGTATGTTAAGCAAAGAGACAGTAACAGCCAATACAATCTCTGTTCAAACAGCTATGAAAATGACAAATAATCAAACATAAAAATAAATCAAATATCTTTGTGAATGAATAAAATATTCTTGTGAATAAAAGATTGTTTATTTTAACAAACACGAACAATGATGCCTGTTATATATCAACAATGATACATGGAGGTACAAAAGATCAAAAAGGCTAATGACAGAAAAGCGCTACACAGACACAGATATTTCCTAAAGCCAAAGCTTGTTTCTCTGTTCTTTCACACACAGCAGTTCTCTGCCAATGGAAAGGCTGAGTTGAGCCTGCCAACTATTGGTCACCGGTCCCTAAAGCCCTCCATCACAGCCTCACAGAGCCCAGAAACACGCTTACATCATCCTCACAGTAAATTAGTGTGCCATTGGGGGAGAAATCGAAAGAGAGGGAAGCCACCAGAGCAACAATACTCATGTCAAGTCATAGTCAGAGCACATGAACTGCCATAAACAAGTACAGTACAGTTAGATGCACTCAGATGACAACTGCTGTGAGCTCAAGGAAAGACTCCAAAGTTTAATATGTTTTTATGTCATAAATCATCCTGCTCTAGGGAGTTTAAATGCTTGTTTTGGCCTGTTTTGAATTACTAATAACACACACTAATGTACAACAAACCTGATATGGATTAAGGCACTGTAAGTGAATAGGGCAGAAAAAGAACCTCTTGTTATTACTGTGCTTCCACGGTTGATTGATTGCATTAAAAATAGATTTTTTTTTTTGTATTACAAGTTTTGCATACATTTTTAGATAAATATAGTTCAGCATTGGATTAAGTCAGGCTCAAAATTCAGTTTCTTTTTTCTTTCCTTTGCCATAATATAAACTAAGGTTTTTACAAGATCAATTTATTTATATTTGAATTAGTTCAAAATTAATTAATTAATTACATTTTAATAATCATAAATAATTCAATTTATAATTAATTATTATTATTATTAATTAATTAATTTAATTTTAGTTATTGAACTTATTTATGGCGACGCAGTGGTGCAGTAGGTAGTGCTGTCGCCTCACAGCAAGAAGGTTGCTGGTTCGAGCCTTGGCTGGGTCAGTTGGCGTTTGCATGTTCTCCCTGTTTCGTGTGGGTTTTCTCCGGGCGCTCCGGTTTCCCCCACAGTCCAAAGACATGTGGTACAGGTGAATTGGCTAGGCTAAATTGTCCGTAGTGTATGAGTGTGTATGAGTGTGTGTGGACATTTCCCAGAGATGGGTTGCGGCTGGAAGGGCATTAGCTACGTAAAAAACGTGCTGGATAAGTTGGCGGTTCATTCCACTGTGGCGACTCTGGAATAATAAATGGACTAAGCCAAGAAGAAAATGAATGAATAAACTTATTTATTTTTTCTGTAATGAGGTGTAATAGTTTTGCCATGTATTTATGTCATAGTTCTATTGTAATAGTTGTGTATTTTGTGTGGTACTATTGTGTTGGGTCGTACTGTGTGTTACAGTACATCTATTTGTTATGTCACTGTGTGTATTGTGTTATAATGAAATTCAATAAATATTATTTGAATACATTGGAGATTTTGGAAATTTCTTTTTAGCACCCTATAATTCAGAAAACACTGTATAATAAGTTTAGATATTTTTGTAGTAATAGATTGTTGCATATAATGAGGCGAATTATATTTGAACATATACCTCATTAAAAACCGTCAGAATGATTTGAATAATATATTATTTCTTTTATGTATTATGTTTATATATTATACCAATGAAACTGTAAACACTGTGAGTGAAGATTTATGGCTCAGTGCAGGAGGAAATACTCATTTTGGGAAAACAAATATCTATTTAGTATGGAAATATGTATTTTAAAATGTTTTAAATATGTATTGTAATTTAATCTACAGACTTAAACTGACAGTGCGACAAAAGATTTCAGATGCTTTCTTTATATTACACTGAAAAAAACTTGCCTCTAGAAAAACCAAAAAGCTAAAATTCTCAAAACTGGAGCATGCATAAATCATATAATGGTGTAGACTTCTAATAATTCTGCTTTATTCACTTTCCATATACACATCTCCATACATTAAATAAGCCTTCTCAAGCTACTCCATCATCACAGAGACCCATGATGTCTGACAGTGACCCCTGACCTCTATTCAGATCAAAAGCAGAAATCGGGCTAAATCAGAGAGAGTGAGAGTAAAATCAATGGAGGACTCACGCTTTTTTGCCGCAGATGGATTTCTTGTACCAGTTCCTACATGTGCTGAAGTACTTCTTCTTGGTCCCCATGACCTGCTGTAAAGCGCACACATTGGGCCTGAAAACAGGAAACATGTGCATTAAAAAAACCCTCTAGCAATGGTTGATAGCTGCATTCATGACAGGCTTAGAGGTCATGTGCTGTTCAATTAGGCAGGTGATTATTTTGAAGACCTGACAAATTGCTTCAAAGAGCTGACTGAAAAAAGTGAAAATTGCTTTGACTACCGCTATACCAAATGGTTGAACTTGTTTTTACTGTTTTAAATAATGACTGTTAAAGTAATTTAAAGAGAAACTGTTTTAAATAATGGCATATACATACAGCATTGTTGGTTTACAAAGACAAAATCAAACAAACATAATCCTGTTGCACCACCACACTTGATTTTGGTTTTATTTAAAAAAAAAAGAGAGAATCTGAAATATTTTATGGCATACTTAGTATTCAAAAATGTTTTATTTTGATTATGTTTTATGTTATGATTATGTTTTGTTATGTTAAACACATATTTTCAGATGTTTCATAGTACAGGTATATGTGTTGTTGTTGTTTTTTTGTTGTTGTTGTTTTTTTTACCATAAACCAACATATCAACTATTTGGTAGAGGTTGATATTTTAGAAATTATGAAATGTGTTGAAAGAAATGCATTGAGTAACGACATTAGGAGGTGAGAAATGCAATCCAAAAATCGTGGTTGGGTAGTTAAAGGGTTAAACTGCTCCTGTTTTAGAAATAAAGGACTAAATGAAAGAAAATAATAAAAAAGCACACAATTTTTGCCCTATATAGATTATATCATTTTGAAATCATTTATTTAGAATACTAATAATAAAATACAAAATATAGAATGTAATATAAAATATAGAATGTAATCTTTCAGCTTTCAATTACATAAATGAAGAGGCAGTGTTATTATTTTTAATTTATTTATTTTATTAATTATTTACTATTTATTTTAGAAGTTTAAATTAGATTTTATATACTTTAATTTAAAATAAAGCGTAGATACATTTTTTAACTAAATGAAAATGAGAATACTCATGACAAACATACAAAAGTTCAACTGAATTGAACAAGCTAAAATTTAAACAATCAAACAAACAAATAAATGTATTATTTTTTTTTTGTATTAATGTATTATTTAATTGTATTATTTACTTTTTACAAAGTAAAAACTTTATAAAGAAAATAATATGCACTGGCAGTCTCAGACACTTAATGAAAATGCTTTAACACAATTAAAAAAACGATTCATTAATTAATTTGGTATTTCAGCATTTTGTTAAAAAAATTGGATTCAATTTTTATTCTAAACTTTCACTATAGTTTAGAATTTTAATTAATATTATAATTTCATGTAATTTTTATGACTTTAGTTTTAGTTAATAGTTTTAGTTTTATAATATAATAACCAATGTTTTTTTATTGTTAAAAATACAATATTTTATTGAAATATAACAGGTTCATACTGTATTTAAAAAAAAAAAAAAAAAATATATATATATATATATATATATATATATATAAATAAATACTGAGTTTCCGAGTCAAAATGCTTAATGCATGCAATGTTATCAAAAGTTTGTATTTGAATATTGTTTACCAAATTACAGATAAAAAATATCAGCATAAAAAGATTAGCAGCTGGAATTCACAGTATATTTCCTAAATGTTTTGAAAATGTATTTAAGACCAAAAAAATAAAAATAAAATGAAAAAGCATTTTCATTTATGTATCAGATCAAAAGTGAATAACACTTTAAATCCCAGATTCTCAAAATTGCATTTATTGTCAAAATCAACCTTGTTCCCAGACAGCAAAGATAAACTTTTAAAACAACCCCTCCTTACCCTTCATTCTTCGCCCTGATGCGACTGTGTGACACTATTTTGTCATAAGCTGAAGAATCCACCTGGTCCAGGGAGGAGAGCACCAGGATGGTGAAGGTGGCCGTAAACAGCAGGATCATCCTGGAGAATCCCCTGCAGATCAAACCCCCTCAAAAAACAGAAAGAATGGGAGAAAGCAGGAGAGAAACAGCCTTTATAGCAGCCCTCCCCTTCTCTTCTATCTCAAACACACACAATGACAAAGATTAATAGAGAATCAACCTGCTTCCTATGGATCCGCCCCCTCCGTGAGAACCAGGAGAGCCTAAGAAGGACCATCTACATTAATATATAAAGACAGAATGAAAAAAAAAAAAACAGATGGTGTGAAAAAGGAATCATCTGCAAATGTTTAGGTTCCTGACATAAAACATTGAAATTACAGAAATTAGACATGCCAGATGTTTAAATGCACTTTGTTGCATTAAAAACAAATATTCTGCAAGAATTTGACATTATTCTAACACTAGAGCTAAATATAAGGCTTGTGTTTTTAGTTATGCAAACGTTTCGTAGTCAGAAAACAAAAATGTGCACTGAATCATATCCCATCAGTTATTGCAATGCTTTTTATTACATTATACAGTAACCATGTTTATATACTATAGATATATGTTGAAGCACGAACACGCAAACGCACAAACAATATATATGATTCCCTTATGCAAATTAGCCATAGTTTTTTATAGGAAAATTGATGCAAGTATTACTTTTTTTTGGCATGGATGAGCCGTGTTCTCAAAGTAAATGTTTCATACACAGAAAACTAAAAAGTACACTGAATCACAATACTGTATATTTACTATAATGCTTTATATTCAGCAGTCACATGCACTTAATACAGTAAATATTCTTTATACAGAAATTACTCTAGCATAAACATACTGTACACATATGCATTTATATACAGTATGTGTATCCATCACGAAAATAATACAAAAAGTCAAGTAAGCATGTTTTATTAGTACTGATTACCACAGAAATAATCACATTTGTATAAAACACATAAATGCTTAAATTTTACAAAAACAATCCACAATTATTCATCAATAAGTGAACCTGCTCAGTGTTCTGCTGGTTTGTTTTCTGTAGCTGGATGTTCATATCTGGGTGATAATCTTACTGCAACTGTTCAATCTCCTGCCTGTTTCTTCTTCATCCTCGGGCTCGGGCTGCTGTCCATGTCTGGATCTTGATGGTTTTAAGCTGGAGCTCATGGTTGAGGCCTCAGGTGCTCCTTTGGACAAGTCCAAGCCAGATGGGAACGTTTTAAAAGCTCCCAAGAATCTCATCTGCATTTATCGCATGCTGTCTGGCATGGAAAGGTGAATTGAGGGAAGTTAACAGAGAATGGGGATAAAATAAGGGAAGGGATTTGAACTAATGTCAGAAAACAAGATTTAGGAGTCATGGTCATTATTTATGTCTGGTTTTAACCCTGTGTGTGGATCTACCTCTAGTGGTGGAGTTTTAGCGGTACACAAATTACAACAATCAACTGCTTTTGCTCCAAATATGCGTCTTCATAATGAGGCTTGGTAAAAGGTCTTGCTCAATTATAATTAAAAAAATTCTTTATACTGTGTAAATTTGTAACCTAAACTTTAAATAACCGCGTGATGTAAAGTAAATTGTAACGTTACGAAAAAGACAATTAAAACGGAAGTGATTCATACAGCCGCCACTAAAACAGTGATATACCACTAAAACAAAATATACAAAAAATATAATAATGTTTTAGTTTTTTACCATTTGCCAATTAGTTCCAGACGACACCATTTGTTAGGAATATCTCTGAGGAATTTACAATTTTGTGGATATGGTTTGTTGAGCTAATTATAGAATCAATGCTTCAAGAATCGGTTCAGTGTGATTCAGTATTCGGTCGCTCGCCCCCGCGGCACCAGGGACTTAAACGTCAACATACACAGACGAAAGGACTTTCAGGTTTGTTGTCTTTATGTTTAATTTTTTTAGTTTGTTCCGTTGGTTTGGTACATTTCTCGAATCATCATTCATAATGTAAAAACAAGCAGGTGCATTTTTCAGAACTATTCAGCACATCAATGGATTAACGTTACACGCAGTCTTGTTCAAATCCATTGTTCATCTCAAAAGTATTTAATTAATTAATACTTGTCGAAGTAAAACTTCTTCTCTTTTCAGATTGGAATCTTACTTGATGACAAAATTCAAGCACTTAAAAGTTCACTTGTTGAATGTAACGCAACTCCTGACTCTCATTAGGACCATCTGCTTGCCTTGTTGTACTGTCACTTCCCACCATTTTCCCACCAGCTACGGATTTCCTTAAAAATGTATTTTGTTATTTACACGACTTTTTACCACGTTATGTAGGCTATACAATATATAGGTCAGAAGAAATTATATAGGGTAAATGGAAAAACACAAAAAGAATAGCACTAAGAAAGGAGAAAAAACATAGAAAAAGGCTTTATATTACTTTTGAAAGTTGGTTTTTAAGTAGATATCATATATTACATTAATCACAATAATCACACAAAATACATTTAAGTACATTGTAGTATATATGTTGCTTTAGTTTGATAACATACCTACTGTACTACACAACAGAAATAATGGAACAGTGGCAACCAAAAGCTGGGAAATATTTATGATGGGACACGAGTATAGAGAAAGCTAAGTAGGTTTTACTTGTTTTATTTTTTAGATTTCTCCACAGTATCATTGTAAACAAAACAAACAGTTCCAAGTAAATTATACTTGCAAGTTCAAGCTTCATTTTCTACAAGTTGGAATTTAGTAATAATATAAAATTTTAGATTTATTCTTGCCTGAACTAAATTACACTTTTTTTTCTGTAGTATTAACTTCACCACAGAGTAATATTTGTCAGTGAACATTTTAAATTAGCCTTATTAACTTTTTAAATTATGCAAGGTTGCTCCAGTCCAGCACCTGTCCTCTATGTAATATTACCCAGTTACTGTTTCACTCAGACAGCATCATAATTGAAATTAAACCTTATCACCAGCTGGAATATATATATATATATATATATATATATATATATATATATATATATATATATATATATATATATATATATATATATACACACACACACACACACACACACACACACACACACACACAATATAAACTGTATATAAAAAACAGTTAATAAAAGTGCATAAATGTCTATTGTCTTAAATTTAAACATGTTGTAAATAAACATGGGCCGGTATATGATTTTGATGGTATGATAATCTTGGATTAAAATATCACGGTTTCACAGTATTGTGTTTACTGCTCTTAATGAAATTATTTTTAAATGTCTGGGTAAAACAAAAACTTATTTCCCTTTCGAACACAATATATTTTAATTTGGGGAAACTTTTAAAATATTTTGCAACAGTTAACATGTCAGGCTAAACAATTCAAATCAATCATTAGCTACGTTTCCATCCACCTAATCGACAAGATGCGGATATATTTTGAAAATGCGCATAAAAAACTGTATGCACATACCTAGTAGAATAAACATTTTATTCGATAAGCAAAAACTACGATGTAAACATTTACAGCAAACAAATTCCAGTATGCATATTAAAAAAGTCATGTGATTTTGTAATAAGAGATCATGTGAGGATAAGGACGTGTGTGAATGGACAAACCAGTAGGCTGACTGCACTGAAAAACATCTGAAATGTTGTTTTGGTCATTCTAAAATGACCGTTTCAGTATTAGTGTTATTATAATATTAAATACCTCCGGAACTGTCAAGAGCATCTGTTCTCACGCCTTCAAACATGTGTTGTTTTTTGTTAAAACTATTTCAATGCATTTGTAGGTCAATTAATGATGATCCTGATGTTTCATGAATTGATGTAGTGAAATAAAATACCACTTTGTGTTACTGAATATTACACCTCTAAATCATTTACAGTTTACTGCTGGTTCACAGAGTTTTACTGCTGATCCAAAATAAACCCTAAAGCCAGGATAGACAGGTTGGGTGAACGTAGTGGGGAATATGTAGATGAGTCTCATTTTGTCAGAGATGCTGAAGAAGGACACAATTCCGGCGCTATAATCCACATACACTCCTAATCTAGAGGACTTTATTTTTGAAGTGTTTACGCTGATTTTAGTCTTTTTGTTTTTGTCCCATAATGCATATTTGGTAGGAGAGCAGTACAAATTTATAGACTGGTCACTACATCCAAATTTGCTGTCATCACCCCTTCCCTTCCTGCCAATAGTGTTATAGGACAGCGATAAACCTACGCCAGCACTCCCACTCCACTCGACCTCCCAATATGCACGTCCACACACACTCTCTTTACACAAGACCTGAGGCCAGCAATCAAATCTCTCTGGATGATCAGGATATCGCTGGACTGTGCCATTATTAGTTGCCACTCTGTTCCCTGCAGACAGCTGGATTATTCCATTCACAGTGTTTGAGTCCATTGAGAGTTGGTGTGAGTCTGAGAAAGGCAAAACACTGTCTGTTTAAAATAGATTAAAATTTTAGATAAAATTCTAGATTGCACATCACACACATGTTAAAGTCAGAAATATTCACCCCCCCTTAAATAAAAAAATATATATATATAATTTCCCAAATGATGTTTAACAGTGGAAAGAATTTTTCAAAGTATGTCTAATAATATTTTTTTCTTCTGGAGAAAGTCTTATTTGTTTAATTTCGGATAGAATAAAAGCAGTTTTTAATTTTTTCAAAAACATTTTAAGGTCAAAAATATGAGCCCCTTTAAGCTTTTTTTTTTAATATTTATATTGCCTACAGAACAAAACATCATTAACATCAATAACTTGCCCTAAACTATTACCCTAATATATATATATATATATGTCTTATGCAAAAGTTTGGCCAGCCCTAATAATTTTCATAATTGCAAGCTATAGCCTCCTGGCCTTTCAAAGCAGCAAATTCATTTGGATATATTTTATACCCTAGGGAAAAAGCAACATTTCACTTCTGCTATAACATTTATTTAATCAACAGATAAGGAGTAGCACAACTAGCAATCAGCTGTCTTAAATATCCTTTTTCATGATTGGTTGCACCTGTGTTAGGATTGTTTAGGTTCACTGAGTCACCAAAAAGTTGGAAAGTTTGATATAACATTGATATAATGAAATGCTCTATGACTAGGTCTATATAAGGAAAATCATTGGTGACAAAGTTATGGTTGAGAAACCCCAATACAGTCACCAAATTGTGGAAAATAATTTCAATTTTTTTATCTTTCAACCTCTGGTTCTGCTTACAATATATAACTAGAATTCGATGAAAGTGTGTGTAAAAGTGTATGGAGATGTTAGAGTGTAAAAGTGTATTGAAGGACATACATTGCAGGATCTCATTCCGGTTCCTGGGCCCATCAGTTGGACTTTTGTAGCGCTTTACTAAAGAGAGGACAACTTATATTTAGTTTAATCTGCATGTAAAAACTGTATTCTTCGGAAACTTTTAATTTTGATACTTTGTTTCTAGAATAATTACTACTTACCTGAGCCGGATACAACTGTGACCTCAGAATTAAGGAAATCATCCATTTTTTTCTTTAGTCTCTTAGAAAAGGTTTTTCTAGCAGCAGAAGAACGAGCACCAAACTCAAAGCTGACCGTTTCAGGTGGCGCAGAGAGAGTTGAAGAACTCTATAAAGAAATTAAATAAAATTAAAATAATGAAAACTGATCACTCCCATACTAACCAGCACAATTTCTGTTATTCTTTGTAATGATTAAACCTGGTATTTGTCATGATTTATTATAAAAGTCATTCCACATAAACACAATCATGTTTGTTTATAATTTTGATTAAATTGACATTGAAATTAAAGCAAGAATGGTTCATCAATGAAGGAAAACCATTTGCATTAAAATGTTTTTTTGTTGTAAATTGTATAGCAACATATATACTTAAATTAATAATAAATTAAATTAATAATAATTAGTAACTAAAACCTTAGTAATGTTCTGTCTGTAAGTATTGTAAGTTTTTAGCCATGCATGACTATATATGTTGGCAAGGAACTTAAAACTGAAAGTGAAAGTACAAAAAGTTAAATCCTTTATACATTTATAGCCAAGTTCATACCTGATTTGATCTGTCTGCTCCTGTTGACACATCATGGTTTCTGTGAATACCCCTCTTACACTGTATACAAATGCTCATCTGGTCAGTACGACAAAAAATCTCCAAAAGCTCATTGTGTATTGGACAGATCATGTCCCGAAGCTGATCGGTGGCATCTATCAAACAGTGTCTCTCACCTTCGAAAACATCCTCATGTTGTTGGAAGTGAATTTGACAGAGAGAGTTCAGACACAACAAACAGCTCTTGATGGCTTTATATTTTCTGCCTGGGCAGACGTCACACTGCACATCTCCAGGCCCAGCTTCAATTTGAGAAACATGAGCGGTCTGTGTCCTCTTGAATCTCTCCACCATTTCAGCAACCATCATATTCCTCCCTAAAAAAGGTCTTGCATCGAAGTTCTGTCTGCACTGAGGACAGTTGTAAACTCCTCTATTAGCATTTTGATCCCAGTGACGTCTAATACAGTTCATACAGTAGTTGTGTCCACAAGGGATGGTCACCGGATTGTTCAGTAGATCTAGACAGATTGAACAGCTCAACTCTTCATGGCTCACAGTAAGCCTGCCTTCAGCCATCGCCAGTTTTGTGTTCGCATTTAAAATCTCTTTTAAGATGAGGACAGCTTAACAGCAGCTATCAATTGCAATTGTTTCCTGGTTCTGTGGTGCAAGTGTGTGAAACAGGTGTGCCTGAAAGACATGATGTTTATATTTTGTTGCACATTAACAAAGTCTAATCAAAAGTCCACTAGGGTCACAAAGGGTTGTTATTTTTAAATTTCCGGCTTTTCTGAGAAATGCTATTATAATGCAGGTAATATTCCTGCAATTGAGTGGCTAAATGAACAAAGGTCTTACTTTTATAGAGTAATTAAGATTATTTATATAAGCTTTTTATTGCAGTCGTGTTAAGTCTTTAGATGAAAACACCTTTACCAGAATCCTAATTCACAATGCACACATCACAGAAGCTCATTCATTCAGTACAAAGAATATTAATTCAATACAAAATAATACATACTGCACACCATCTAGACTCTATGGGACTAGCTGGAAATAATCTGTGTTGGAAATGCAATAAAGAAGTGGGTACTTATTTACACATGATTTGGGAATGTTGCTTATTTTACCCATTCTGGTGTAAAATGTTAAGCACAATGTAGGAGTTGCTAGGCTGTGAGTTCCCTGTAGAGCCACGGCTAATGCCTTCTGGGTGACAAACTAGTGATGCCTAAAGGTATTTTTCTAAAGATTGGATGCATTACAACTGCTAGGATGATCCTATGTAATTGGAAGTGCCCCAGAAAGCCAGAACTGAAGGGGTGAATAAATGGGATGATTGAAATCACATCGTACGAGTGCATGCTGGGGAGATTAAATAATGAGGGAGAAGTACATACAAAATGGGATAATCTCTGGCAACATTAAAATTAGGATAAATGAGTATGTATTACAAAGAGACCACAACCTTAATATCCATATGGGTTTATTATATGTTGTTTTTCTGAGTTGAGTTTTCTTGGTGTGACAGGTGGCTGAATATGTACTGTAGCATGTATATGTAGTGGGAAGTGTGTTCTTGGCTGTTGAACAATAAAAAAAGTTGAATGGTAAACAATGTACACACTCACACACACAAACACAATGAGCACATCATATTTATGAGCTGTAGTACATACAAAATCAAAAATCAAAAGAGACACTCTCAAAAAATATTTTTGGTGCTTGTTCAAACTACTCGTTTAAAATGAACTGAAATAACACAATTCTTGAGTTTTTTGGGGGACAAATTGTTTTATGCTCAATCTTTTTAAATTTCTAAAAACAATTACGTGACTAAATCGATTTGTTATGGGACAACATGAAGGAATTGTGTGGAACCCAGCATTCTTTACAGTGCAGGAATGCCTTGATTTTCAGGTGTGATACTTTAAGGTTTTCCTGA